TAATTTTCCTGTGTTCATACTTGTCAGCGAACTAGAAAAAAGCAAAGAAATACACAAAATCTTCACACGTTCAAGCACAGCAAAGGCCGAGGAGAAGAGATGGAGGAGAGCAGGTCAGCTGACAGGCCCTCCGGGATTTCAGGAACCCAGAACAGACTACGTCAAGGTGGCTGCTGCACGAGGAGTCTGGACTCCTGGGCATGGACACTTTCAAATGCATGCCTTGATGTATCTGATGGTGGGTTTTAGGTATCTTCATAGGTCATCACCATGCTCACTGGGTGTGCACGTATTAGGAAGGAGTAGTATTACAGGCAAGATATCTCACCATTTCTCTAAGATGAGAACAGTATACTTTGAGTTTCATTTAAAATAAAATGAAATAACAGCTCTCAGGTTAAATTATCAGCATAAGATCATCTGCAATACCCAGGAATAAAGGAAATTGGTTTTCCATTTAGAAGGGAAAAAAAAATCTCAGGCAGAGGCCCATCATACCAGATGCCCTTTGACCATCGCTGCATGCAGGCCACCTCACTGCTTGCGTGTGAGCATGTACAATACTTGCAGCCATGCATCCTGTAATAACAATTCTCCCAGCACTGTTTCCAGAGCATGGGTATGACCTTCCACACACACCCTCCCACCCGCGCCCATGGATACCATCACCTCAGTGATTCACCCACTCACTACCTCCTATAGTTTCTCTTTCAACCAGTGGTAGTTGTTAGAAAAAATTATTCCCAAAGTGTTTCCAGTTTCAATCATAGAAAATGGCCTCCCAAAGTATATAACTTACTCAAGAGATCCTTTGTGTTATGCTTTCCTATCTACAATTTCAGGCACAGTGACCGTACATACTAGATGCTCAGTAAATAACAAAGAACTACTTTATTAGCCTCTAGAAAAGTTGTCACCTCCCCAACTTGAGTCCCACTGAATGATTCTCAGTTTTTCATATCATCAGGCTGTTATTTAGCATCTTAAAAAAACTAACAGTGGTTTGGTTAACAGAACTGTAACAACTTCACTATTGTTGATTTTTTAGTTTTGATAAACTTACCATGGTTATGTGAGATACTGACATTCAGAGAAGCTGGGCAGAGGGTATATGGGAACCCTGTACTATCTTTGCAGCTGTTCTATAAATCAAAAATTACTTCAAAATAAATTCTTATTTTAAATAACTTTTAATGAAACAATTTTAAATGACTGGATCACTGTCTAACCCCATACACAAAAGTAAATTCGAAATGGATCAAAGACTTGAATGTAAGTCATGAAACCATAAAACTCTTAGAAAAAAACAT